ATTAAACTTTGGTATGACTCCCCGAGGCCTAAATAATGGAGACCCCCCGTTGGGTTACAACAAAATTAAAAAGAAAAAAGAAATATGTAAAGTGTCAACTGTGTGAAAACAGAGGTGGAAACTACAAGAGTGTCAGAAGGATGCTGTGGTGACGTCTTTGGAAAGGTAATAATAAGTGTTGTCACCTATTTTACGACGCAGAGGAAAGAGAATTAAACATTTGCATGACATAATTGAAGTCATGGCTTGGCTTCATTGATTTAGCACATTAAAATATTGCATGATTACTTGTAATGATCATGTCAAGTCAGTTCCAGAGAACTATAACCTGCTGTTTTTGCAATTGTCTGTCTTTCTCTGAGCCTTGTGTTAGTAAAAGTACATAGTGGTATTAAGTATCTAGAAGTTTCAACAAAAATGTGTTCTGACAGCAGCAATAAAAGTGCATGAAATATTAAGCTAAATAAAACTAAGTCACATTAAATATGCCTGAGAGCAAGAAACTGTACACCAGTTTGAAATGACGCTACAATTAAGTGACTTCTACATGTTTTATGTAGTACAGACGTGGTTCCCATTAATGGAGTTTGGACCCTCCTAAATCATCACAAGATACTTATGTAGAGTTGAAATGTCCTTAATGTTAATAATTAAGGTTTAGATCTGTCTATGGAAATATTTGTTTACATTTACATTTACAAATGTATTAGATGGAATACATTTGCAACATTGTGCAAATGTATGTACATTTGCATATGTGTGCCTAATTTAGAATATGAACACAGCAAAGTACGCATTTACATAAAAAAATTAAGTAATTCATCAGTACGAATTCTGTTTTTTGTGCCGTTAAATTGTCCTCTTCACTTACTTTAGCTACCTCTGAAAAACATTACATTTTTCAAAATCATTTGAGAAAAGTGATTCATGAAGATTATGAACATCAAATAATGGAAAGTATAGAAGTTGTCAAGTTGGATAAAACTTGAGTTAAGTTATAAGTATAGATTGTGCCGGCTCTAAAATTTCATTTTCATTACAAAATGTCAAATATAATGGCAATCAAATCCATGTAACAAACCATAAACAAACACGCACTGTGTTTTTCTCCTTAAGATGCTGAATAAGTGCCAGGCAGTACCAGTCCACTGGTGGTTGTTCTCGCAAAGGGGGTGATGGTGTGATGGCTGGCAAGATGCCCCCTGCCTCCCCTGCTGGCTGCGCTCGGTCCACAGGCAGCTGAGCCACAGAGCAGCCAGCAGATCAACAGTTGCTGCGACTTTGGTTGAGCGACTGGTCAGGCTGCTGCACGCCAGCCAGCCCACACTCAGGGCACCTGACCCAGGGTAAACTGACAAATGCCTGGCCTTTAAAGCGCCTGCAGATTGATGTGACCCCACGGCCTTGTCGACCTTTCCACTCTGGGCACACACATGGACTCACACTTGTAAGAAGGTTATTACTGTCTTGTGCTTGCAGTCATTATGTTGATACAACACTCTAAACTTGCAGAGAACGGGCCTGATTAACGTGTTGATGTGACTGGATTCATTCTTCGTGGCAAAATCTCTTTTGCTAAATTGCTTTTCAGTTTTCCATAAAGACCAAATACTACTTGATTAGATTTGACTTAAAAGGTTATGGTGTCTGTATTTAGAAGCAAGTTCATGTGCTTTTATTGCCAGACATTTTGGCAGATTCTCAAAGGCATTTAGGAGCTTATGGCGCAATACGTATATGTTACCTCCTCAAAATGTACAGCACAGTCATTGGACATGTTTAACTCATCCTGACAAGGCTGTTAATTTCTCTGAAACCGGGAATGGATTCCAGTGACCCTCTATACTTGTGGCTTATTCCCTCCAAAATGCCCAGCTGTTGCCACAGGAGACAGCTGCTACGAGAGTAGAACGAATCTCAGCTGTCGAGGAGCTGTGTGCTGGGTTCAGTGGATTTTGGCGCTTTGGATGCCTTCAAACCAGTGACACTTCACTCTCTAACCTTGCATGAATATTGGTGGGGTATGGCAAAATGCTGACAGACAGCAGTTTTAAGCCGTTTTAAGGGGCAGAAAACAGATGCTACAACTATCTGCTTGCACAACTGAACTGCTCAATTCTTCTGAACTGGTGGTCAAAGGATAGATTACCCCAGAATGAGTGTAAATAAAGATGAAAATAAGAATAGCACTGGTTCTAAGTAGATTTCAAGTTGTGCTAAAATGCTGTTACATGTGAATTGGTAGAAAATGTATAATCACAATATTATTAAATATTTTGAGGCATGAGTGTGACCTGTCCTTTTTACCCCTTTCATAATTCAAAACATGTATTTTGTGACTTCTATCTCTAATTATCTACTTTTGGTTTGTTAAATATGACCTTTATGTGAGATCGTAAAGGTAATAGGTATAACAAACTTAATTCAGTCATATTGTCATCGGATGTAGCGGTTGCATACACTCTCTGGACTACAGTGTGTTGCACTGCAGCAGTCTTGAACTTGGACAGAAAGGCAACTATAAAACATAGACACATTTATTTTCATAGATTTAACATGTATACGTTTCTAATTTGCAAAGATAAGATATCATCATTATTCTCTTACTTTTGTGTAATAATAAATGGCAAGTGCTGTTTCTTTCGAAAGAAAACTTTTCCCTGAACTACAGCTGTGATGTTCTATTGTGTGTTCCCACTACGCCCTCTTGTGGAACTTTGCTGACATCACAAGTCAATAATGCTCGACAGGTGGGCTATTTTTCCAACTTTTTTCTTTGCATTTAGCTCATGGGTGGTGGGACATAATTGGTCATTACGTATATTTGGAGATGCCTTGGATATACAAAAAAGATGACAAATAAGTTTACAATACTAGCATAATGAAATATTAAAAAACATACATGAAAACACGCAATCTCAGATTACTGCTAAGAATTACGTACAGAAATGCAGAACTATGAATAACTGTCGAAGGTGCAGGTATTCATACATATCACCCAAAATACGTTATGTCAAAAGTTTTTATTTTAAATAATAGCCTATAAACTGCTAAAATGGCAATGAACAAACTAAAATATCAGACACAATCATTGACAATTTATGTTAGACTCCATAACGATTCCTAATAGAGTATTGCTATAAAACAATTGTATATAGGTACGGGAGTTCTGCTAAATAAATAGCTTTCACCCTTGTGGGCATCCTGTTTCAGCACCACGGACAGTGACCGGTCAGCACACGTGATAGACTGGTGGTGATTTTTTCTTTGGACACATCAGTCATGTGGTCACGTTGTCTTGTTTACATTCTACCTTTAAAAGTAGCCCATTTACACCCCACACAATATTATTCGTGGGCTTACTGGATCAGCTATACCTCCATCCTGGCTGTTCTGCTCTCAAGGTGGAGTTCTGTGCCACATCACATGTGATCGCTCCCGCTTCTCAGCTCCAGCCCAAAACAAACCCAGCAGGAAGCGGCACATCGACATCCACTCACTGCATTTTCGCGACAATTTCCTCGTGTTTTTAGAGTTGCGATAAGTGAGGAACATGTGTCCTCCAACGTGCAGGTAAAAATACCAACTGATCTCACTTCCACGGCTGCAACAACTTTTAGGATTTTTTTGTGTGATTGATTCCACTGCGATAAAGTGAGGGTTTGAACATTTTTTTTCGGAGCAAATGTCTCGCAAGAAGGCAGTTAAAGGCAAAGCCTCTAGCAGCAGCCCGTCTGCAGCCAGCCCCGCGGGGAAAAGCACGGGGAAATCTGCGAAAAGCAGCCCCGGGATTGTTCCGATGAACGGAGTGGTGCACCCCAGCAGACCCTCCATCAGCAGCAGCAGCGAGTTCTACGACATCGCCTTCAAGGTGAGATACCTGCGGCCAGGTTCCTGGGATCTGGCTTACTTTATTCTTCGCAGAGAATAAAGTAAAACAGCTTTCATTTCCTTGTGTTTCACACAAGCTGTTTTGCCAGACTGCCAGCAAACAGGGAAGATGCGCTTTGCATAACAGTAGCCAGCACACAGGTGTTTGGATGGAGCTGTGCAACTGGTTTGAGCAAATCTTTTCTTCGGTTGTTCAGGTTACAATATGTAACCTCGTGTCTGAGTATAGAGAGTCCTCACTTCACAATGGTACGGATAACCCACCCACAGACTCTCATTGTATAGCTTCACTCAAATAACTTCCACTGACTCGTTCCACCTACAATGTGTTTATGATGCAGCTCTTCAATGGGAATCTATTAAGGTCTGAGTGTTGTGTCTTTTGTAGGATGATTTGTCACTTTCCAATGTTCACGAGCAGACCTAATTAGTTAATAGATTATTTTGAATTTTTATTTCTAAAAAATTATAAAATATGATCTCCTCAGGTGACACAAAAATCTGTTCCGTGCCGCAAAACTAACTGGATAAAAACCCAACCTGTAGCATTAAGGAACGCATTTGCCTCTGCCTTAGTGAAAATAACATGTCCCAGACATTTTACACCGATAATCAAACTATTTGAAGGGCTAACGTGTACTATTTCAGTGCGTTGTACTCCCTATGGCAATTGTCCTTAAGTCACTAAACAAACAAATCTGCATCTAAACGAAGCACAAAGAAATGGGCAGCAGAGGGAAATAAAGGGTGTCATCCTCAGACCTATTTGCAACGTTGTACATCTGTTTATTGACCTTGTTGCTGTGTGTCCCTTCATTCTCCTTCCTGTTGCTTTCATCTGCTGTCTGCTTCCTTTGTGAACCCATGGAGACACTTTTGATTTCCATATCTAGGTCCCACAGTCCCCCAGCTAACCTGATAATAGTAATTACATTAAACCTTTAACCTAATCACGGCTTTAAAATATGTAGAGTTGTTTGGAGAGAAGCACTTCAATGAATGTTTATTTGACAAAAGGACACAACATGAACCGAATGAGGACATCCACCCATGACCAAAAGGAGCTGTTACTCATTCACATACACACTGTTCACAGGCAAAACACCAAAAGACAGACTAAATTAGCAGTGTGATTCAAATGTTCTGAGGACAAACAATAGACACTGATGTATAATTCCAAAATGAGCAACAGCACCGTATTTGAGCTCAAATGTTTTTTTCTTTTTTCTACTGTTTGAGAGTTATGTGATTTGTTCTTCCTTATTTTAAAACTGAATTTTGGTTTGTTTTTTCTCATGCAGGTGATGCTAGTTGGAGACTCTGGTGTGGGGAAAACCTGTCTACTGGTCCGTTTCAAGGATGGAGCTTTCCTTGCAGGCAGCTTCATCTCCACTGTGGGAATCGACTTTAGGGTGAGCTGGAATCAATGAGTCAGGAGCAAATCAGAACAATTCTGCTCTTAGATGCACTTTCATACACACATATAAGACTAATAGCTTTAGCAAAACAGGGTCATGCTCTGAAGGGATTCTTTCCACAGAAAATCCATGTCTTTACAAGCCCCAGAGCTTTGAGTATTTCCTGTCAGAGGATAGATATTGATTTCTTAAATTAGTTCGACATGCTTTAGTTTTTTAGCCTCCTTGGGCGATAACGATGTCTATCATGTGCCAGTTCTGGGTCCCCACGTGGGCAGCCAGGAAAGACTGTGTTCATTCTTTTAAATGATATATGTGTTAGTCTGCTGGGTACAAGAGAGCAACAAATAAAATGTAGCTGAGGCATTTTGTGTCAGCCATGTTTGTTATTGTCTTCTCTTAAATCCTTTTGCACATACAACCACAGAATTTATTGTTATTATGATACTTCTTATATGCCTTATAAATTGCAAAATGGCATCATACAATATGAAACCAAAATGATTTGTGAATTTATTCTGTTAACTTTTTATCTCTGTGATGTGATATAATCATAACCTGCTGATTTAGAGGTGCACTCATGTAATATTGTCCAATTTACTGTATACAGTTCAAAAGAATAACAGGATTAGTACCGAGGAAGCACAACAGAGGATATTATCATGTCAGAGGCTGTTATTCACAAAGCAATCTGGGAACCCATCAGCTACAAGCTAACGACAATGCGTCTGTGGCAATCACCAATATTTCTGAGCTTCTGGAGTAGCCAGCAGATGTCCACATAATAGAAAGTTCCCATCTCTGTTGTTTGCACTGCTCGTTGTTTGAAGACTGGCTTTTCAGGACTTCCAAAAGAGCTAAAAATAAGGAACACTTAGTACGATTTTTAACAGAAGGCTTCAAAACTTACTTTCAGTCAACAGATGCTGACTCTGTTGCTCTCAGCATGCAGCGCTTATTCACCCCCTGCAACAGGCCTGGTCAGACACGATTGGTCACTATTTATCAGTCTGAAAACAGACTACAGATGGAAAGAAAGCTTCCAGCAC